TGTTTTTTATTTAAGAAGTTATGATAAATCTTAATAATTGAAAGTAAAGGGATAAATAGTATAGATTCTATATAAATGAATCAATAAGATTTGTATGTAAGTGAATCCTTTATGTATATACATACATACATACACACATATATATATATATAGAGAGAGAGAGAGGGTTTAGACCAAAGAAAGGATAATTAATATGTCACAGCACCAAAAAATGTTAACATGACAAAAGTGTGCTATTCTATTTTGCAAAAGGCGTGTAGTGTAGCAGTATGCAACTGTACTCTTGAAATGATGAAACAACATCTTCTGCTAGCTTTATGCTTTGAATTTTATGTCAGCTAACAGGAATATATTTTTGTGTCAGGTTCTGGGCCTTTTAGGGGTGATGGCAAGGGTAGAAATAATCCAAACGTGCGACCAATGGCAGGGGATTGGTTCTGCGCTGATCCTCAGTAAGTCTACTTGTTATTGTAAATTTTCTTTCACATTTGAGATATTTGGGTGTCCTTTCCTTGCTTTGTTACACCTTTTCCTGGTAGTCCTATAGTTTCCCTTTATGTGGCTTTTTATTTGTTGAAATTAAGGGTGTCTGACTCCTCTCCTTTAAAACTCGTGATAACAATTTAGAGCTCTCGAGAAACTGATCCTCTGAAGTTATTGAGCAGAGCTTTGAATTTTTGTTTTAAGTTTTGTTGTGCTGACATAGCTAGCAAAGAGTGTTCATTGCATATTTGTTTGTTACATGTTGGGCACTAACAAGTCTTTTGCTGATAGCCGGAAGATAGAGAATAAGCTATCTGGCATACTGCATCTAGAAGTTTTTATCATCTGATACATAAATTATGTCATCACATCCTTTTGCACGGTTCAGATGTGCCAACCTTAACTTTGCAAGACGAGAATATTGTAACAATTGCCAGAGGTTTCGCTATGCTCCATTCTCTGCTCCATGGGAAAGTGATTGGATCTACCCTGATCCCCTGTAAGTCTACAACTTGTCTCGTGCTGTTAATTTTCCTTCGCACTTTCCATTGTAAGAATTCAGGTGCCCCTCCTATCTGTTGGTGGCCATTTTTTGGTGAAGTCAAGTAGGGTCTCCTGACTCCTCCATCATAACAATTAAGAGCTTTAAGGAGATGATACTCTGTTATTGCGTAGAGTTTTGAAAGACTGATTAATCCTGGAATGCTTGTCTCATATTTGTTGCATCTAATACCTCAATCTTAATAGCCTCGTATGCATTTTTGATGCTTCAGATGTGGCAAATTTAAATTTGCAAGACGAGAATATTGTAAAAACTACTGCAAGTTTCGCTATGCACCTGTGAGAAATCCTGATAATGGGGACTGGATCTGCTCAGATCCTCAGTAAGTCTATAACTTGTCTCTTACTGAAAATTTCTCCCATTATATCCCACTTCTGAGATATTTAGGCACGCTTAGTTTCTATTTTACAGTCTGAATCTTGATAGTCTTACTCTTGTCGTTTGCCAATTTATGTGGCTTCTTTAATTTGTAGAACGGTGTTATGCTTTCAAAACCACTCATGACAATTTAGAGCCTTTGCAGGAACTGATCCTCTTAAGTTTTGTTGTACTGACCTAGTGTGGATTTTTTTTTTATTGCGTAGTCCTAAGAAGCCTTGTACTTGTGGCCAAAAAATAGAAAACAAGCTTTTTGGATATCTGCATTTGTAAGTTTTTGACATTTATTACCTAACTCTTTGTATCCTCATCCCATACCTTTTTTATGCATCAGATGTGGCTACATCAACTTTGCAAGACGAGAATACTGTAACAAATGTGGGACGAGTATCGATGCCCCACTTCAGATAATACCATCACCTCCAGATTCTCCTCCTAAACGCTTCCCTTATGATCCTTCACATGGCAAGGCGATGAATGGGAATAAATCACATAGTCATCGGGTGGGGAATGGCCCGAAGGACTTTAGAGCTGGTGCTTCCCGACCTCCCTGGCATCATGAAGACAGATATTCTGGTCATGGCAAGCTCAGAGAACGGCTGGAGGATTATCAAAAAGATAACTACAGAGGAAGGAAGAAGTTTAACCAGCCAATGCCAGTGGATTCAGAAAATAGAGACCGTGGAAGGGACAACTGGAATAAGAGGCGCCCACTATCTCCATCTCCACCTCAAAACGGAAGAGGGGGTGGGGGTCGAGCTGTGAGAGAACTCAGAGAAGGAAGAAGCTGTACTGAAAAGTCCACCATAACCCTTCTATTTAATCTCAAGATATAACAACAATATAAGAAGAGATGCACCTCAACAAGCAGTTCGACAAAGAAGTTTGAGCTCAGATAGTTGTTTTAACAGCCTTGTTTTACTTCAATGGTTCAGAATTCAAATGCCAGTGCCTCATTCTTAATTAAAAAAAAAAAAAGGAAAAAAATTGTGAAACTAGTGCTGCATCTGTGCATTGCACAAATCAATATAATGGTCCAGAAAAATTATTTTTTATTTTTCCATGCCAGTAAATTATCTGGGAATCAGTCATAGACTCATATGGAAACAATTAGGTCTGGGAAAGTGATTAGGTTACAATGTTTTTACTTGTAACATTTTGTACAATATGATGTAAAAGCCACACATAGGCTGGTGTTGCCCAATTTCAAATACCAGCTGGCTGCTGGCTACTGGCTACTGGCTACTGGCTACTGGCTACAGTGGCTTTGTTCATTAAGGCTGTGCAGAGGAAAAGCTCCCCAAAATATAAACAAAAGGCTATGTTGAGGAAGATCCAAAGGGCAAGGATCTGCTCTATTGAGCTTGGCATACATGGTAAATTGAAAGCTCGGTGTTCCCTGGTAATGAAGCATGATGTTTTGAATATTGGAAAGATAACTAAAACCATATTTTAAGTCATTCATAAGGATTGGCTTAGTTAGTAACACTCGAGCACTTGAATAATTGGTTATTAAATTTGAATCTTGCTGCCAGTAGTTTGTAGTCCCTTATGGATAAGTGATTTGTGAATTCGGCTGGGCTGGTGGTATACTCAAACCTTGTACTAGACTCCATAACCCCCTCTTGCCCCAATCTTTCTATTCACCAGAAGAAGAAGAAGAAGAGCGGTTCTAAATCAGATTTTGCGGAATTTAAGGTTGTCCCTAAACTTTACATGCACTAAAAAAAAGGACTATTCTAAATCAAATAAGAAAATGATTCAAAAATAATTTTTTATATTATTTTTTTATATAACTTTACGTATTATTTAAATAATTAATTTTTGCGGAATTTAAGGTTGTCCCTAAACTTTACATGCACTAAAAAAAAGGACTATTCTAAATCAAATAAGAAAATGATTTAAAAATAATTTTTTATATTATTTTTTTATA